AGCACAACGGGACAAAAGAATATGGAGAAGACGACTATCATTAAAACGTGGAACGAAAAGAACTAAAAATTGGATTTTTGCTGCCCGTCAAACATCATGTGGACCACATACGAAAAAACACTGTTTGGCCTTTCCACTCGAACATTCTTGAACCTACGAATTCTCTTCCTAGCCTATCTGTGAACAAAACGCCGCTTTCAGATCCATTTATTGGTTTGCTAAAAGGAGATCCTGGGACGAAGTTTCGCCAAAAACCATTGCGCGCATTTTGAAATTTTTTCCGAGCAGAATAAATTCTTTCACCAAAGCCGAAGGTGAATTTTGAAAGTAAACAATATCTTATACGGAATTTTCTTGTCTGTCAAATACAAACAAAGGCTTTTAATTTCATTGAGCTAGCAAAGTTACGAAAGCTTTTGTGCGTCACATTTCATGTGGACCACCCTGTAATTATACTGTGTACTTTGCCACTGCGAGCGTGGGGAGGGGACCCTCAGTTGATCTGTCATATGACCAGAGAGCGTGTTCTTGGAAGAGGTGGAAGAGGTGCAGGGTCCCACGCGGAAGTGAAAATGCTGGTGACACCCGACACTGCAAACTGGTAAGCCCTGTAGCTATTCGGCTAAAATTTCGACCTCTTCGCCTTCGTAAGAGCCTATAGGGTAAGGAACATCGAGAATTAACCTCCCAAACATCTCATCACATGTGGGAAACTCAAGGCAAAGAATTCCATATAGGCCTAGAATTATTAACTCTCCTTTGCTTTACATGAGGAGCAACCACCATTTACTGGTATGTGCTAACAATGAATGAGGCAGCTTCGCATAGAACAAAGCTTGCATAACTCTAATAATGGCGCGAGCTCAGTTGTTACGGCAACGAAATCTTCTTTGCTGTTCATTCTGGGTTTTCGATAGACTTCAGCACGCATCGAAGGTTTTCGCGTGGACACTTTGCCTTTCCGTGCGAGAATATCAACCGAAACATCGAATTTTGTGATTGGGTGACATAGTTTGCGATGCGTGCCCAGGGTGGGGGGTTGACTAACTTGATCTTCGCAAGCCGTCCAATCGTATTCCTTGATGCTGACACATAGCGTCTTTCCCGTCGCTCCTACATATTCTTCCCCATGTAGCCTATAAATGCGATAAACCGCAACAGAGAACGTGCAACAGCCGCTACCATTTGCGCAAATCATGCATCAGAGGTGCTCCATGCTTTATCATATGCTGTCTGTGCACTAAACGTTGTTCAAGACTATGATAATGTTAGCTCCAAAAACATTTTTCTGCTTTCAAGGTTTGAGACCAGGTCGCATTGTTAGATACAATAGTTCGACTTTTTTGTAGCAAGAATTAGCTGGTATTCAAATGTATGCGTAGCCTTCAACACGAATATTACAAAAAAACTTTGCTTCTTTTATCCATATTAATTTTCTAGCAAATTCATTGATTCTGCGCGATATAAACAACAGCAGCCTTTCAGTTAGGATGCACAGATAAGATGCACAATGCTTGGCAAATCGATGCTAGGTTTACAAGCCTACCGCTACTCTCTTGTTACACCTACACAATACGACAAAACTATTAACACGAACTTTGTTAACTTGAAGTGGTTTGATCAAGCGTAATCTGTTCTTAAGCAAGTGAAATGCTTAAAAGCATCATCTTTGCGCTCTAAGGCCTGTATGCAGGCCCGCATCCCCGCTGGAAGGGGAGGGGATCTGAGAGGGGATGCGTCATATCTCGAGACTCTACGTATCTCACGTATCTTTCTTCTTCCTTTTCTATCTTGCTTATGAAGATTCTCATACCCTTATACCTGCGCATAATGGACGCCAGTTTACTGGCGTGATTGATTGGATTTGCACCGTTTTGTGTAATCCCCCGATGGTCCCCAGGGGATCATCTCTCAATTTCAATGTTCTTTATCTTCCTTAAAACTAGTAAAACGCTGTAAAATTGTACTGTGGATATATTACGGCGCTGCTAAAGATGATTATAGTAGAAATAAGTGAAATCTCAGGATATCGAAATCTTCGGTAATCCCTAGCTCGTGAGCCAGGGGTCATCGAAAATTTCACAATCTTCAGATTCCATTTCTTCTGTAGAAAATATGCTTAGCAGTGCCGTAGTATATCCTCAGTACAATTTTACGGCTTTTTCCCTGGGGATCACACAAAATGGCAAAAAACCAATCTTGTATGGAAGTAACCTGGCATCAATTATGCGCAGATATAAGTGTATGAGAAACTTTAGCAAGATAGAGAAAGAAGAAGAAAGATACATAGAGTGGCGAGATATGACGCATCTCCTCTCAGATCCTCTCCCCTCCCCAGCGGGGATGTACGTGCATACGGACCTAAAATGTGAACCTCTACGACTCGTATCCGACGTCAATAGTTTTGTCTCAACGAAAGAAACTTTGCTCAGAAGTACAAATGCACAGCTGCTTTTAGAAGTGTCTCATTTGAAAAGATGATAATAAACAGTAGGCCAACAAGAAAAGGGGGATCACAACTAGAATGAAATTTGAAAATCAAAAAAACGATTGAATTAGCTTGCTGCTTGTCAAATTGCTTGTAGCTTGCTACTTATCAAATTGTTTGTTAAGGACAAGGCAAATTTGATGATGTTATAGTGGTATTTTGGAGTGCTGTATCGGAATGCTTGCTTTAAAGTTTTCAACACTATGTTCGCTATATGCGGGACTCTCTGAAACGTGATAGCCTTCGTCTCAACAATCGCAAAAAAAGGGGATCAGTGTACATTGAGCTAGCATTTTCTGTGTAATAATTCAACACGCCAACCAGTAAACCATTCGCCATTTGTAATACCATCAACCTCGCTAGTACTCTTGTGCAAGCACGCCGATGAAAATCGTCCAGATCACCAACTTCAATGTACTTAGCCGTGAATCAAGGCTGGTATACTGCTTGATTGAGTTGGATGACGTTTCGGCGGTGCTTCCGCCTTCCGCCGTCAGGGCCTAAATAGTCGATGGCAAAACAACATGCTCAAACGCTTTACCCGCAAGAATATGTCAATAATAAGGTAGTAAATAGTAATAATAATAAATAGACAAAGCAGTGTGATAATTGCAAAAGGTCTAATTACCGACATCGATAGTCGTGTTAGTTTGGTATTGAAAAATCGGTTAGCAGTCAGCTGCTACACTGCGTACTGGTGGCAAGTAATACTGTAGTCATTGGTAAGTGTGCTTCTTATATGATTCATCAATTCTATCGCCTATCAAGGTCCGCAAAGAGATTGATAGCAGGCCCGGCCATCAATAGCAAGTCTTCTTCTTTTGGGTTCAGGGGTTGATGCGGTCCAAAAAGCCTCGAGTTTTTCTGGGCTATTGATTCGAGTTTATGCAATAAGATCATCACGCTGACTTTGAAGAACTGACCTTTCCCATGGCTTGGCTTGCAGAGCGCACCCAGAGTTGTGCATACTTTTGACTTTTTGAAACCAACAAGGTGCTAATTCTTGGGCATAAAAACCCTTGATCTCTCCGCTATACTGCTCTACCAGTTCTATGCCTCCCGTTCCGGACGGATAGTATATTCGAGTTGTGCACAATCATTCCTATTTGCGATTGCCGAACAAGTGTTTTTTAAGATTGGTGGTGGAATACCTATAACTGCGATAGAATCTTCAAGGCCCCATGATGTAACCATTTTCTGATAGCTTGGCTCAATTCATCCGTAATAAATGGAACATGCAACACAGAAAGGTGTTTCTGATATAAAATTTGAGTGCTGAATGCTCCTGGCGGGAAGTCACTCTTGAATCGTTTAGTAGTTGAAGTATAGCCAATAGTGCGCAATCTGCCTATCAAGATAATTAATTCGATGCATTGATCGACATTGGACGATACCGATGCTGCTGTCCAAAGAATAGTTCCGCAATAACAAACACCGTTTTGTCAGCTTATCAAGGCAGCCTTCATGACTAATCACGAATATAAGGCTCACGGTTTAAATTATTTTCTCCGCAGAGAAAACCGCTGCGAAAGGGAAACAACCCTTGAACATCTTTCCTACTTATTTAAATGCTGATAATTTGGATGGTCAAGTAGCAAGAATGCTGACCAAAGCCTAAAAAGCTTTGCAGTCTATTAGATCGATTCACAAGTTTTAGAGCTCCATAAAAATCTGATCTAGACCAACAGAATGCCGCCACCTTGGCCATCTGATTCAGAGCTGTTAACATCCATTTTCAGAGAACTTCGCATTACTAATTACTCTTGTAATAGATTTTCTATGAAAATTGATGGTAATAACTCTAAATCTGAAAGCCAAAGTGGCGGCATCCTTTCATTTGTCTAAATCAGATTTATTATAAACTACATTTCTCTGGACAAAAATGTATATAAATGTGGTACGAATGAGGGACCCGTCATACTTCGCCGAAAAAAGCCCAAAAGCCCGAAAAAGCCCAGGAAAGCCCGAAAGCTCAAAAAAGCCCAAAAAAAGCCCAAAAGAGTCGAAACCCCCTTCTGTTTTGACGCTAAGGCATGTGTGTTGATTTCTTTTGACTTCATTTTCTGTCTCTGCACATTAAAGTAATGTCAGAATTCTACCAAAAGTTTGTTTCTGCGTTTCGGCTCTTTCGGGGTTTTTCGGGCTTTTTCCGGCTTTTTTGGGCGCTTTTGGGCTCTTCTAGGCGAAGTATGACGGTCCGTCAAGCTGGATCGTTTGGCTCGATTGTACAAACATTCCGCTAAACTCTAGTGCGAAAATGGTGAAGGAGGCGCACGAACGTCGTCAATATCTTTTTTCAGGAATTACAATTTAAGGTTCTGGCTGAGTTAAACAAGTTAAACATCAGTGCTGTTTGTTATCTTCACTGGGCACAGCACTCGATGTTACAGTAATCTATCGTCACAACACACTACCGTCCAACGGCACTTGGACGGCTACGACGGCTTTTCTGTAGCTGCATATCAACACTAACGTACGGGGATGCGGTATTCATCTTTTCGTCGGCTGTCATGTGTGAGAGTGCGTGGGACGTGCAAGCAATTGATGCAGCCAGTGTGAGATGGGTGGAGTCGGCGTCACGGCGGCGTATAAGAGCACTTTGGAAGTAGATCTGCTCAACTCATACAACAAATTACTACCACCTTGTGCACTACTGTTCCTTAACTTTGTTCAACCCCAATCATTCATTATGATCTGTATCATCCATCCTTCACGAGATACACTTGAATTCATGTGTCGACAGTCACTGAGATTCGCCAAATTGCGCTTATCGCGACCTTCACAGCCGAAGCATCTAAGGTGATTATAATTTTTTTCTACTTAAGCCCTGCCGTGGACTATTCACTGGACCGAAAACTGGACCATTCACTATTCGACATAGTGAAAGGTCCAGTTTTCGTTATAACTTAAGCACACGCCATGCTTACCCGCTTCATCTGCTTCAAGACCAAAACACAATCCGTGATGCCGTTCTTGTTCTGAAGCGGTTGAAGTGGATGAAGTGGATAGGTATGGCTGTGCCTTAGCTTCAGTATAAGTATAAAAATTGATTTACAACAGCATAAATTCTCTTCCCAGCAGGCACAACATTGACTCGTCGCAAACTACTTGACAACCATGTCCTTAGCTGCAGCTACCAGGACGGACTTTGCAAAACGGTTGGACATTTGTGTGAGACCCATGCTGCTCGTTGCCTGAATCGCAGTCGACTTTCGCTTCTCTCCAAGCAATGCTGTTTCGAACGTTACACCTAATTCGATATTGTCGAAGCCAGCGGACGCGGTCACTCAACCAGCACACGGTCTATCCGATTTTAATTATTCTCGAACCTCTGTGCTTTTACAAACTATTGTTGCTTTTTGACACCAGACGAAGTTCAAATGTATTTTTCATCGATTTGACATGCATTTGAATTCATTTGCTTTCAAAAGCAGTGTCTCACCAGAATCGAGGTTTTGCGGGTATCCACATATTCTGTTAAGGGCTCATCGAAAAGGCTATTGTTTAAGTTCAACTCTATTCGCCTATTTACCTCAAAAGAACACTTAAGGTGGCCTACGCTAGCCGACTCGGCGCTTTCCCCGTTCTTGTTTCAACACGCCCATCCAGGTGACGTCCTCTCGTTTACATGTAAGAACCTCCGGCGTAGGCTTGTGTAGGAAAGCATACCTCGTCCAAGTTGCCTCCGCGGGGCCTCAAAAGAGCGGATTTCTTGCTAGGCTTAAGCGAATTTGAACTAGCATAGGATTCAGCAGGGCCGAAAAGACTTGCGATATGTAAATACCCCGATTTTCAACATTTGATGTGACACTGCCCTGAAGACACTCTCCTGAATATGAAATAAACGTTTAGAAATGATGCTTGGAGCGAGTCGGCTCAAAAGACGCTTTCATGTATCATCGGCTTCCAGATTCGTGTGTAGGCGGGTTGCCGACTTCCCTGATTTTCAGGATAAATTTGTTAGAGCATTGTATTTCGTACTCTCTTGCTAAGTTTATCCTTAAAATCAGGGAAGTCCGCATCCCGGGTTCACACAAATCTAGAAGCCGATCATAATAACAATAACAATCATTCATTCCTGGGAAAATGAAAAATGCCAACAGCGACAAATGTCAAAACTCAAAAACCATTACCAAGAATTTGAATTTACAACATATTAGGTTGTCCGGAAATTAATGTCCGTTTTAAATTTCAACCGCAATAAACCATACATTTTTCATTCTTGAATAAGTTTCAGAGTACTATTCGATAGAGCAAAGCAAGCTCTACAAGATGGCTATCTTGCTTTAGCAACAGCTTTGATCCACCTCAAGTTTCGAGCCAAAAACTAAAATGATTCAACTGCGCGAAAAACCGAGAAAAATCACAACTCAGTTCATGAGAGTCTTACAAAAATTCTAACTTGCTCACGTAAACACTATCCACATAAGACATCTATATACGCCGTTGCCGTATTTTTTCCTTTGTTAGAAATCAAGAAAACGGAAATTTTCATGCTTTTGCCAAAGTGATGCTGTGCCGTCCCCACATAGGTAGATGTATACTACAAATCTGTAGAAGTACAAAAGTGGATTTTCAGCTCTCTACAAGCTTTGGTTCCCGAGAAATATCGAATATAGCTCCCATTAGTCAGGTGGTCCAAGCTAAAATTCAAATTTTTCGAAAACTAAATCTTCTAAAGAGCTGAAAGTCCACATTTGTACTTCAACAGATTTGTAATATACATCTACCTATGTGGGGACGGCACAGCATCACTTTGGCAAAAGCATGAAAATTTCCGTTTTCTTGATTTCTAACAAAGGAAAAAATACGGCAACGGCGTATATAGATGTCTTATGTGGATAGTGTTTACGTGAGCAAGTTAGAATTTTTGTAAGACTCTCATGAACTGAGTTTTTTTAAAATCATTTTAGTTTTTGGCTCGAAACTTGAGATGGATCAAAGCTGTTGCTAAAGCAAGATAGCCATCTTGTAGAGCTTGCTTTGCTCTATCGAATAGTACTTTGGAACTTATTTAAGAATGAAAATTGTATGATTTATTGCGGTTGAAATTTAAAACGGACATTAATTTCCGGACAACCTAATAGTTATGTACATGAATCGTAATTAAATTGGTGATGGCTTCTATAGGCTGATTCAAATATAAGCAAAAAATCCGAAAATTGTTTTCCATTACTTTTTATTAGCGCTGAATCATAGCAGCAATTGGATCTAAAAGTTTGTTGGGTACTTTTCTGTCGTCCAAATCCATTTTTCAAAAATGATATAGATTTTTGCAGCAAATTAAGTAAAAACTTCACATGATGGAGAGTCAAGCTTTTTCCACGTGCAAGGAAAATTGACATGTTCAACAGGTTTCACCAAGAGTTGGTTTAGCTTACCTATCGATGTAAGTTCAATCTGTTTTTTTATCTAATAATGACGCCATCATTTGTCAACAGTTTCACGAATGAGCTCTAACATTGTGAAAATGACATTCTGTGTTTAATAAACACGTTAGGTTTTCTCAAAACGGAGAGATAGGCTATTATTCTTTCATCTAAACGACGAAACAATCGGCAGTCAAGTACGCAAGCCGTCACCAATTCTTTCCCGTATAAGTTGCATGACGGGCACTGTGAAAAGCAGAATTTCTTCAAATCACTGCTGAAAATTACCACGATGTTTCAATAATTATTTGATCAGCTTGCTTTTATAGACTCCTGATCAGCTTGCGAGTCATTTCAAATGCTCTTGTACCTCACCGGAAATGATTTTGAAGGAACATGTCAAAGTGCCCCCAAACGTGTTAATTTTTATCTTGACACGAGGGAAACAGTCTTCATAGAATCTATGAAAAAAATTTCAGGCTGAAGAACGTTTTCATGAAAACATTCTGAAAAATGGGTCCAGGTAACGGAAAAGTGCCGTTCGTTGTATAAAATTATAACAATTAGAAGTAAATTTACTAAAATACTTCAGGGTGGATACTTCTAACTTGAACAGGTTCTACTCAGCGCTGTGGGTACTCTCTGTTCTGCTAATTATCATAATTTGTACTACTGCGGCGGTGAATGGAAACATATGGCTTTAGGATGAGGAGTGTTTTTGTTGTTTATACAACGCATAGAGGTTTATAAAGCAGACGGTATCGCACAAGCAAGCTACTCGAAGGTTCTTTGTTGGAAGGGACCGCAAGTGATTTGGAAGTGCCAGTTCTCACATTTTGACAGTAGTCTAGACATGACGGAGAGAGAGGTGATTGTGGTTTTGTATTCAGAACATGCCCTTGATGTAAGCAATGTTTTACGTTAATCTAAGCCCTTCACATTATACATGCCCAACTGTTCTTATATGAACTTTAGATGTAAACTATGGGTTTAGGCTAAAATAAGTTTTTTGGCATATCTTCGAGAGATCTCCCACCTGTAATAAATAACATGAAGAAGTTGCTGAGGGTACGGCTAAATTAATCGATGAGTTTTTCTGATTGATTGAAAGCAGGAATGATATCCATGAAAGTCCATAATGGAGGAAAATGGACTTTCAAGCCCCATTTTATTCGTTCGCGCTAAAAACTGGTCGGAACCTACTTTCGCTAGCGTTATTCAAAAAATTTTACCTCATCGCAACCACGGGGCAAAGCGGTGTGATGAAAATGATTCAACCCTACTTGAGCTCTCGTTTGCGAAAGAGTTATGCGAAAAGTCCATTTAGAATGGGGCAAAGTGGGATTTACCTCTATTTTAAATAGACTTGAAAGCCCATTCTACTCCCAGCAGCAAGGCGAGCTGGGACTAAGCCCATTTTTGACCTTTTTGCACATTGATGGCGCTTTTTTGAGAATGTGTTCCTTAGCCCATTTTAAGTCAAGTTAATATATGAGTGGAAGAAGTTTCATGTCTTTATGAAGTCTGAAATAATAGTTTCTTTCTAAATTTATACAGACGCTCTAAAAATCATGGAAGAAGGTTAAATTTACCAAAATATTCACTAACAAACTCAAATGCTTCCAAATGTCAGATCGATGCGAATATTCCTATGTAAATCGAATAAAGTTTGTTAACTCTTCAAATCATCAACCAAACCAAATTCATGATTTGTATTTGAAAATAAGAAAGATCTGCGTTTTAATATAATTTCTCAGAAGCTATCTTTTGACTATTCTTGTAGAACCGAACCTCAAACACGGTCTTTATAAACGATTTTTGAGTTTGGTCGCAAGAATTACTGAAGTGGTGCTAGCTAGCAAGGAAATCTCTGTGAGAAATTTCTTACTGTCAATAAACCATACATTCAACTAGTTAGAGAAATAAACACTAGCGTTGAAAGACAAAAAAGAGCTAAAGTAAAACATTTGCGAAGTCATCCCTTGCAGACTCGTAGTTTTCAGACTTCAAAAACCCTTTGTGTTATAGTGTAGTACAAGGTTTCCTTTGAGATAAGCATTTTGACTCACAGATTGCAGTGCAAATCTAGCCAAAGTTTGCTTTCTGCATAAAGCTCTACATACGAATTTGATTTGATGCAGATTCATAGAAGCCTCGAAAGGCGAAGACCCGGATATCGCATGAATTTAGTCTTGGAATTGATTCAGATGCAAGTCATCGATAATAAATGACCAATGCGTCACCTCTGCTTCGCAGAGACTCGCACTGGTCCTACTATCCGTACGCCTTACTCATTCCCCGACAATAAAGACATTGAAACTCACCGCGCTATGCGGACTATCATGAATGGTTTGTAAACAACTATTCATTCCAAAAGCTTTTCCAAATGAGATCGTAATTTAGCTTGAACGAAACTTTTCCCAAAAGAACAAATGCAAATTTGAATAGGTTTTGGACGTTTCATGGCTCGGTGTTCGCCATAAGATGCAATAATCACCGTGGGCTACAATTCTGTGCAAAAATCTTCTCAAATGATCGCGTAAAATCTTATCAAATTAAACATCTAAGCAATCAATCCTTTTTGGCGTCGTTTTCGCAAAGTAATAAAGTTCAGTTCAAATTTTTAGGCTGAACTTCATGGCTTGCACATTAACTTGTCAACCATATCCTTGACTTCGCAAAAAGTTGTGCTACAGGCTCAATTTTACTGGCCAAAAGCTAAGTGAATCCGATAGAAGTGCATTTTTTGAGGGATCCACGCAATGGATCCGCTCGTGCTTTGATATGATGGGCTCTCATGTTGGTAGCATGCGCTTTGCAAAATTTGGGCTCATCAGGTTGGCTGGAACACGTTCTACGAATTTCGTGACAGACAGACAGACTTACACACAGACACACACACAAAAACACGTAAACATCCCTAGACCGTTATTATAAGTTATGATATTTTGTGAGTTGTAACGAAATGGAGAAGAATAGAATATCCACGTGATTGACATCGCAATGTTAGATCAGCCTAGTCAGATATCAACCACTTGGTGAAAATGAGTTTGCAAGAGTGAGTAAACACGTTGAGGCAAGTTGGAGAAAGGTTTGCTGAGGAAATTTTGTATGGAATGAATGGATTCACGAATGCGATATCTTATCGCACCGCATGGACTAAGTCCATTATTCGCACGAAAAGCCCATTTTGCGGGGACTTTTGTGGATATCATTCCAGAACACATAACGAAACGATTCTTCACTTGGCAGAAATTACATCTGTGTAATGGTTAAATATGTTTGAAAAAAGCTATTTTACTAGAGTGTTGCGGTATTGTCATAGCCAGGAATAAGAGTGGGTGTGTGACAAGCCACAACGGGTGGGAGGTCATGTTCAATGGTCAGAGAGGAAGGGGGGGGGGGGTCGTGGTCGACG